TAGGTTGACACACACACATAAGCCAAGGATTAAAAATATTAAATATATCACGGTCCTACGAGTAGGTGACAATCCCTTTCCAAGATAAACAGCTTTACACAAACTAAATCTCAATATGAGGTTTAGGGTGAGGAGTTTTTTTGGTCGTGAGAAAAAATCCTGCAACACTGACAGAAATTGAACCCACCAAGCTATAGTATTCAACTCCACTAGTGACCCCTTAGGGTGTTCAATACTGTATTTGTTTAGTTGTTCTTTTTCAAGGGTTTAAATGAAGGAATTTTTAATTTCTATTTGAAGTTTAATAAAATAGTGAATTTAATAAAATGAAAATAAATAAGGTTACTTAATAAGTAGATAAGATAGTATAATACATACTCCAAGTATCGAAATGCATAACATCGTGTCGGGATTCAATATTTCGACATTAATTATGTCATCATGATGACATAATCAATTTCGAAATATTGAATCCCGACACGATGGCATGCATTTCGATACGTGGAGTATGTATTATACTATCTTATCTGAGATTAATCAGTGAACCTTTCGGTTTTAATAAGTGGAGTAAAGAAGTATCTAGTAATATATTCTGCACTTGGTACTTACTTATAAAGGCCACATATCATTTTGGGACTGATGTGCCTGGGACCGACCCCATACAATTTGTATATTTCCTCAGTGTCAGGTGAGAAGGAGTATAAAGCACGGAACTGAAGTCCATGATCACGGAACAGAATCAGGAAGTGTTTGGCATCGGACTTGGCAACCTCCTGTTGGTGAAACAAATGTCAATGGAAATATTACTTAAATTGAAACTTACATTAAAAACATTAATTAAAACTAATCACATTTGGATTAGGATGTAATTCAGTGTGAATTGCAATAGATATGACAAAGGTACTAGTGAGAATGATAGAAAGATGGTGATGATGATGAAAATAATGATGAAGATGTTGATAAAGGTGATGGCAATGATGATGATGATAGTGATAATAATAGTGATGATGATGTAAACGAAGGTGGTGGTAATGATAATCACATATTATTGATTTGGATAATAATAGTGATGGTGGTAATGAGAGTAGTGATGATAATGGTGATGATGATAATAGTGATGAAAGCAATAATGATAATGATGGTGATAATAAATTAAGGAAATTCAAAAAAAGGTTTTATAAGAATGTTCAAATTGAAGTTGTTACATCATACATGTATCTAGGAGTTGTTTTTAATTCAAATGGTCAAAGGAGTAATGCAATTGAATACACCTGTTAAAAAGCCAATAATGCAATATTTTCCCTTAAGTCGTCAATAAATCGAAAAAATATCTACTAATACATATATGGAAAAACTTTTTTTTTTTAAATATTACCTATTTTAATTTACGGGTGTGAAATTTGGAGTTTTTCTGATTTAACAAAAATTGATAATTTTCTTACACGTTTTTCCAGATTCATTTTAGGAACTGGCAAGAGTGCTATAAGTGTTGCCGTTATTGCTGAAATTGACAAAGATAGATTTCTTTTCATGTTACTATTTTCAGTTAAGAAAACTTGAGAGAAACGAATCGTGTTGGGCTAAGCATGTTAAACATCTTCTTTGCTCAACTGGCTTTGGCTATGTTTGGTTTGAACAAAAAGATGATAACAAGATTCAAGTACTTTAGGTTGTTTTTAAACAAAAATTGAAATTAGTTACCATTTAATGTGTTGAAGATTTAAAACGTAGAAGGCTGTTTACTAAGTTTCGTTTAGGTGTTCTTAATTTAGAGGTCGAGAAGGGTAGATGAATAAGATTCCACTCTGTAGTTTAAGTTCAATCAAAGATCACTTTTATTTTATACTAAATTGTCCTTTTTATTCTCAGATCAGAAATGATTTTATCCCTAAAACCTCACGGAGCCACGATAAGGAAGCGACATTTATGTACGCAGATATCACCAGCTTGAAGACTGATATTTTTGGGCGCTGCATAATACTTAGATTTAAAGAGGGCTTGTCCGAGCTAAAAAGGTTCTTTTGCATTTATGACTGCACTAGAGAATGACAACAAAATTTAATCGTTCCTTTGCATTATTATCCTTTCAAAGATATCGCATGTATTTGTATTAAGTCCAAGTTCCCACACTAATTTGATTGAGAAGATAAAACAGTTTGTCTACCATAAATTTGCACAAAGTGTATAATTTGGTGTTTATACCATGGATGAGTCGCCAACAAGTGTGCTTGGTGAGCTGCTCATAATATGCTACTGTTCTGGATCGGCAATGAGAGCCTGCTCGGAGAAAAGCGGGCACTATGCACACACGGTCGACTTTAAAAATCGTCAATCAAGGAGAAGTTACACAAAGAACATTTGCAATGCTGAATTATAGGTCTTGAGAAGTGTAAGGCTAGTAACAATTTCCTCCTTATATTCTTATAATTATGATTATATTCGGTCAAGAGCGCATGATAACTTACAAAATTGTCTGGTCTTACATAATTTTTGAGCGATCTTAGGCACCGAAAACACTGAGCATCACTATGAAAGCTCAGCACAGGCCTCTTCTCCATAAAATAAGTAATGATGGGTAGGCCTTCGTAACAGGCCTACAATCAAGAATGTTAGTACCATTTTATTTAGAACAGGATATTATATTATTGTTATTATAGGCACATTGCCAGTGGCCAGTGTTATCATAATAACAGAATAAGAATATTGTAAGTACTGTATTTCCCATTCACGGGGTCTAACAGGGTTTCTTTTTGGATTATTCAATAATCATATCACTAATGATATGATTTAACTTGGTTGAGTGTGCATGATAATATGATAATTTACAGGCCAATATCCTGGCTGCACACACTTTCTTGAAATTCTTTTAATGTTATTTGATTTCCCATTGCCAATGTTCATTCATTCATTTCATTTATTTATTAAGAAAAAAAATTACCCCTTTTTCAGGGGTCTTCTCGAGGTGTATGTGTGTGTGTATATATGCATTGGGTACGTTTCCTAAACATACCCAAACGTTCCCACAACTTTTCCTTTCCTTCTTCCTCATGGAGATCTGGACGATGCCAAAATGAGCCAAAAATATTTGGGGAAAGAAAAAGGGAAAAAAAAAAATTGTTTGGTACCAAACATAAGAAAAGAACCAAGCCCAGCCAAAGCACCGACACTGCAGACAGTCGATTGATGCTTCGTTGACAATACAGACAAACCTTTGCAGACACTTTTTCTCTAGGCTTTCATGCTTCAGGCATAGATGGGAGTTCAGCAGCCCGGCCCCAAAAGCAGGGGACAGCTCTTCAATGGGAAGGTCATCATCATCATTCAGAAACATTGTCATTTTCAATTGCAGTACAAAAAGATAAAACTCCTGTCCAGTTTTCAATTTCTGAGAGTATATCAAACACTTCTAGAATGGCACTCCCAACACAGCATTTGACTGTAGGCCTAATTGTATAGACTAGCATATGGCTAGATCAGATCAGCGTTTGGCTGTGACTTAGCAAAAAGGCTCACACTATAAGGATGGCGTTCTGGAAAAGCCGTATATTTACACTTGCTTCAGCACTGCTAACATTGTTTTCTTTAAATAATTATACTCGCTAAAAAGCTGCCTTCGTTGGTACCATAAACTGGACATTCTTTTAAATTTATTATGAATGGCTCTTGGCCAATGTTATCTTGAAAGACCAAAACAATTTTTAAAATACAGTATTACCACTTTTTCAGGGGTCCACTCGAGAGGTATAAAAATATATCCTCAGTGTTTCTTATATTTTCGCCTTTTGGATTATGCATTAATCCATTTTATAACACGCCTACTGATTAATTGGTAAATCTTGGATGGCACTGCCAAGACAGTGTTTTGCTGTAATGGTATACAGATTAGCATATGGCTAGATCAAATCAGCGTTTGCCTGTGACATATTAGCAAAAATGCTGACACTACGGAGGGTGTTTGGCCTGAAAAAAATGGGGAAAAGTCGCAATTTTTACACAAGCTGCTAACAGCACAGCTAAACAGTGTTTTCTTTAATTATATTCCCAAAAAAGCGGCATCGACGGCCTTTCACAACAGTGCGAGAACTGGTGAGATAGTTGCAGAAGTGGATCCTGAAAGAAAAGGGACACTCTTGTGTAGATGACATATCCAGTAAATTTAAATAATGCTAGTAAACATCCCTTTTCTTACCCTTTCCTTTTAGAGAGAGGTATATAACTTAAAAAGTCAAAAATAATATTACATTAGCTAAACAATCATCAAAAACGAAGACCCCTCCCACCTGTCTCTTCCTTTATTCATTAATTTACCCACGGGGATGCCTATTTAATTGATGCATACGAATTTTAAAAATTATATTAAATTATAATTCGGTTATTGTTAACTAATCAACAATTCTACCTGGTACTTACAGTATATATTATCACTGTGGCAGGGACATGTACATCTACACCCTGAAAAAATTCTATTAGACATTCACCCTCTAAATAGAATTAAGGAATGACCGATGGTGTCTTTGAACTAACTACACCCATTCAAGGATACAGTAAACTGATTTATGAGGAAAGCTCTTGTTCTGTAAAGGTGACAGTTTAATGGGTCCCCTTGCACTTTAGTCAGAAGTGTGTCAAGGTTTCGGTAACAATAAAGAGTACAAAATAAAGACACACAGAAAGTTTGGATTCATCCCTTCTTTGTCTAAAATCCACTCTGAGTCCATTTTTTAAAGCAACAAAAGTTCTCTTTATATTTTGTTACTTTATCATATTTTGAAAATGTAAGTGTTAACGACTGCTTTATAAAGTAAGTGTTAAGTTTTAATTGTACTTTTCAGTTATGTTTTAGTTTAGGAGCGGGGTGTTACTGATTTCATTATCGCACTTTGTATGTAGCACCCTCTTGCAGTTTTATTATCTTGTTTATGTTTTCTGTGCGTTGTATTATGTGTAGCTTTCCTCTGTTGGCCTTTGCGCGTGGGTTTTTAATTCAGTAGTATGTACCGGTTGAACGTACAAACATGTGTGGCTACTTATTGAGTTTTGAATCCTGAATATTTGGGTATGTTTCTATATTTTCTTATATTAAGATGTTCAGATTGTTTTATATTGTTGCATAGACTTGATTTAATATGAGATCGAGGTGCAGTCCGTATTTGAGTTCATGCAGATGTACGAGGAAGTGTTTCGAGATGTTGAATTGGTACATCAAGCGCTATGTGAATCCCTCGACGGTGAAGCCTTTGAGACAGAAGAGGACGATAAAAAAAATCCAGGAGGCGTTTTGGAAGGCAAGGAATGTAGCTAGAAAATTCTTAACTAAAAAAGGTGTAACAAAAACTGATATATCTAGTTCAAGTTCTAGCGATAATGTAAATAATCCGAATGATTCACATGTTATGTCTAATCAACTTAGCGACTTAAGGTTAGCCTTAGAATTGCCAAAGGCTCACATAGAAGAGTTCAATGGTGATCCAGCTTATAGCTACTGGACATTTGTTAACAACTTCAGAATGAATGTAGCCACAAAGTTGAGCGATGACAATGCTAGGCTACAATATCTATTACAGTTATGCAAAGACAAGGCATGCATGTGTATTGAAAGTTGTGCACTTCTAGAATCAGGCTCCTATAACACAGCGCTAGAAATATTGCGCAAGCAATTTGGTCAGCCGCATATGATTTTAAATAGGCTTATGAGCGAACTTCTAGACAGGAAACGCATTTCTGCTGGAGATGGTGATGGTTTGTGGGCTTTAGTAAGCTCTTATTTCTTAAG